ATTATTCTTGAGTGATGGAAAAAGTTATTTCGGTCACCATACAAAGTTACCTTTTCAACCGGAAATTCAATAAACTGGAATCCTACACTCATTCGACCGCACATTTCTAATATCAGAAACTGCGTAAGGTTTCCAAACCTCCTCGTCCGCCGTTCCGACGAAACGTTATCCGAAAAAGGGTTGGCTACCCCCCGAGCGGGGTCTGACGACGGTCGCTTCTTACGAAAGCCCCTTTATCAACGTCCCTGATGCGACACGGGATAAGGTGGGAAAAACTTCGAGGGAAAGTGTTATTGCAATGATTTATTATGAAATAGTAGGAAACACCCATAACGTCGAATTGTTGTTGAAAAAAAAATAGTGCCGATGTCTGATCTGACGCAAAATTATTTATTAATAAAATATTCCATGATATATTGTATCTTTTGCAATGTTAATTTTTTATTGAACTCATTAGTCAAAAACAATAGTTACAAAATTTAAAAAGTAGGTAAAGTTAATATTTACCTTTATATCGATTTTATTGCTTTTAACTCTAGAAAGTCTAGAATTCTAGACATTTAGAATTCTAGCACTATTACTTAATGTCACGGGCTAACCTTTTTTATGTTTCTGGAAACCTTACGTACAATAAAATCCATAAAATAGTTTAATTTACCAATACTATGAAATTTTTGGTTATAAAACAAAAAAAACAGCAAATAACGATTTAGTTGGCCAAAGGGAGCGAGTGCATTGTGAATACCCAAAAACGGCGAGTTCTTATATTCGTCATTAGCTTATTGCTAAAAAGCAAGTCTATATTTAAAAATACGATCGTAATATTTCACTTTCAACTTTCACGTTGAATGTGCAAAAGTTTCTCGGTAAAAAAACCTCCCAAGTGCGAGACGAACACGCGCACGAATGGTTCTGTACCATTTTTTATTTATTTATTTATCGCCAACAATGTACACACCGTAACAGAAGAAATAAACAAGGTTTGCAAAAAAGTTATGAGTGGTACCTTAATTATAGGTAAAAACTACTTATTAACAGACAGTAGAGACAAAACTAAAGGTGAAACACGAACATAATAATTATCTATAAAAACGGCAAAAATATCAGGTCTGTTATACTTACGTAATTTTTATTCTATTTATTTGTTGTTATAGCGGCAACAGAAATACTTCATCTGTGAAAATTTCAACTGTCTAACTATCACGTTTCATAAGATACAGCCTGGATGGACAGACAGCGGATTTTTAGTAATAGGGTCCCGTTTTACCCTTTGGGTACGGAACACTAAAAAGAAGAGATCGTATAAATAAGGTTTCCTACTTTTAGGTATATCAGTTTGAATCAGTCCTGTTCGTATATGACTTGATATAACTTGATAGGTTTATTACGTATATTTACCTTCATAGGTTGTTGCTTTTATCAGATAATTAAACACTTGTATATTGTATTAACTGATGTTTTTGCTTACAGTCCCGAGACTATTAAAGCTTCATCGGACGCAGAACAGGTGGGCTAGCCAGAACCCACGGGTTTGGGCCCAGCGCTGTGGGTAGGGCCGGGCATGTGCTCATGCGTGCGTTTAACTATGGTATGTCATCTAAGGGCCATCGAGGTTGCGGTGCAGACCGAGACCCCGATAGCCGTCGACTTAATTAAACCCTATTAATATAAATGAGTAGGTGTTTTTGTAGGTTTGTTCGTTTGTATGTTATCATCGCTGCATCATCACGGAGAGTATCGAGGCCCTTTTTCAATTTAAGGGCCGCGGAGGATACTTAGGCAATCCATTTCTTTGGTTTCTGTTGGATACATCTTAAGGAGAAGAAACCTACATAGTATCTTTTTCATAGACAGTTTTACGTACTGGCAGAAAATAATTGGCACAAAAAAACGTTGTTTGCGTTAACAAATACAAGCACTAAGTGAAATTATCGAAGGCCCGAATGCAAGCGAAAATTGTAATCAATTATTTCTCGTCATTGTCATTATTTAGTCGCATTGCAGGCCGTACAATGTATGCCCCGTTACTAACAAGTGGAATATTACCTATTGGTAACAGCCGGTAAAAAAAATAAACAAGTTCGATTACCAAACCGACAACTTTTACATACATTACCATAACGTCCTATTTGGCAAGGTGGAAATAAAAGGAAAGTATTAAGGTCGTATGGCAAGGTACCTTCTCGAGTTTTTGGATCTTGCAGTTGAAGGCAAGACAAAATAATTTTCGACATTCAAAAGCATTAAAATGTAATAAAAACGCTTTCGAGCTAAGAGCTCTGTGAGCTCGAAAACAATGAGAAGTTTGTGGACTTAGCTGCAAGATCAATCGTATTCCAGACTTTTTGTAGCCATTACTGCCCGACTTAAAAAAAAAACAATCACGATCACTTTAAATCCGGTCTGAAATTTGACGCACTGGACCTGGCTACACTGTTTACGAAGCAGAATTTGTCTCCATACCACTATTTGCCGATAGATGGATGATACAGTTGTCAAGCCAGTTCGTAATTCAAACTGTCTGCATACCAGATTAAGTCGTCGTAAAATGTGGACGAATACGAATTCCACCGGTTCCAAGTCAGTTTACAAAGTGGCACCGATCTAGAACATTCGAACACAAAATAACAGACTTCCTGATCGACATACTTTGAGCGCTGTAAACAATTCGAAATGAATCCACCTTTAAAAACACAATAAAACCTGTAAAAATATTTTTTAACAACGCATTATTATTCACGTATGAACAAGAAATCATTACGTAGTAAATACAATTTTTTAATGAGAGAAGGTTTTAAGCGAACTGGCGGTTCACCCGATGTTAACCACCGCCCATGGACGTTTGCAACACCCGTAGGGTTGAAGATACGTCGCCACCTTTCAATGAAGTGGGCCCCGGCTACCTCACTCACCAGACGTACACACTTCCACTTCACGGCGGTTATTCTGTGAGGTCGCGTTACTTACCTGGATCCGCCCGTTCTTGCAATCGTGAAGGATGTTTGGCCGATACTCGTCAGGTGACAAAGTCAATGGAGTGGGATTAAAAGCAAAACGGGGTCAGCTTCCGTGCAGCGTTAGAGCTTGGCGCCATTGATCTTTGTGGTTGGGCCTCGAAGCAGCCTCGGCTGTTGCACGAATGGGCAGGCTCGTCCGGGTAAGTACCACGACCTCACAGAAGACCGGCGTAAAGTGGAAGTATAATACTTTCGCGTTTCGTCTGGTGTGCGAGGCGGCCGGAGCCCAATTTTCAAAAGGTTGTCCAACGCATCTGGAACCCTCGGGTGTAGCAGATGTCCGTGGGCGGCGGTATTCACTTAACATCAGGTGAACCGCCAGCTAGACTGGCGACTTCTCACATAAAAAAATATTGAAATTTCGCTTCGCTGTTACGCCTCGTGTCGGGCTAATGCAATATGCATGCGGTGACGACGCCGGCGAAGAATCCCCGAATGGCCCCTTCTCGGAACACCCAGTGCCCACGCGTCGGCGACTGTACCGTTACTCGGCGCCCACCTCGAAAAATTCCACGGTGTTTTTTTATCTTGGACAATTTGGTGTTTCAACTTCCTTATTGTTAGTGATGCTGCCTTGGTTGTGACCACAATAGCCCAGTAGGAGGCAGTAAGCATGCAAAACTAATCGAATCTATTAATGTACATGCCAATGTTTCATGCCTTAGTTGTATATTCTTTTAATTGTTAGCATAACTATATTTGTTGAAACTAAATAAATATTCATTCATTCCTGTAATTTCATTTTTTTTATTACCGAAACTATTTTACGGAGTTGTTTTAAATTTTAATTCCCGACGTTTCGAACCCTTTTCAGCGTTCATGGTCAAGGGACATTTTTAATTTTAAAATTGGAAAATGAGCAGGCAGGGGGTCACTCGATGTTAAGCCGCCGCCTATGGGAATCTGAAGCGCTTACGAGTTGCAGATGCCTTGCCAATATTAAAAAAGTCGGCCCCGTGTACCTCACTCAGCTGACGAAACGCATAAGAGTAATAAATACTACTTCACGTAGGTCTTCTGTGAGGCAGTGTTGTGCCAGCCCATTCGTGCAACACCCGAAGTGTGGGGCTACCACAGTTTATATGTAAATTTGTAACAAAAATCCTCTGTGATAGATGGAACGGCGAGTACGTTTTTCATTAATGACTAATATTCATTGACGCACGAACCAGCGTAATAGTGCTGAATTACTATCTTAATTAATTTTATATATACATACTGTTTTTGGTGAACGGAAAAATAAGTGTGAAAAGTTAAACAAGATTTTGCTTAGTCTATGACGTCATTTAGAGTCGTGTTTTATGTTTTTTTTATTTTTAGTAACGATTTCAGGAATAAGTAGCGATTTCTTCGATTTTCTGCGATTTTTTCGATTATTGCAATGCCAAAATATATATACATAAGATATCGTCTTAATTTTGTCTCCGACGATTACGTCAAAAGTCGTCAGTATCAAATCGTCAGGATACTTTGCTCGCCGACCATAACTAACGTCTAAAATTGTGCCGATGGACTGACATCCCGACGTGGATAAAATAGAGGTACCTGCACTACGTCACTCTTCCCAGAAACCATTAACCCGTTAAATTATACATGCTTCGTGGAACTCGGAGGAGATACATTAAGGAAACACTAACTCTATAAAGCGGCTGCGCACGGAAGACGCTTGTTTCGGGGGCAGATATTAAAATCTCGTCAAAGGTGATTTAGCCGCCTTCGGGCAATTTACATTTCATCTAATTACATAACATCTAAGGCTATATTATAGGTTCTACAAAACAAATCCTTCGCCATCTTGCGCAATTGATAGGACAGTCCTTCGCGCTGGAGTGCAATATTAAGCAGCCCCCGCAGTGGATGTGACAACACTGACAACCATAGATGATACATATATACTGAAATAGATGAGACACTCAACAAATCGCTGACAATCCACGTTGGTGCGGAAATGGCGAAATCGAGCGTGGTTCGCGCACGGGGTCAATGCGTCTCGGCCGGGGAATCGTCACAAAGAACCCAGTGACGGCGCCACCGATCCCGACGCCGCAGTCTGTGCCGACCCGAAGATTCTCGACGCGCGAAACTTCCCGTCGAATTCATTAAAAACTTCACGCCGCACTCTAATTGAATGAATGGTATTTTACGGTTTAGACACGCGGAGCGGCAGCGCCGCGTGGCGCCCGCCCGCACCGCACGGAGCGGCAACGTGGCGCCAGCGTATCCGTCGGAGCGGCAACGTTGCGCGGCTTGAGGAGCGGCAACGCCGCGCACTGATTCAGCAGTACACATTCAGAATCCGAGCCGCGAGATTTATTATTATTACTTGGTTGCAACTTGTACTTTTAATTTCAAGGGGACCTTAATGCCGCGCCGCTAGTAACGCTATTACGAACGCCGAGAAGTTTCGACGGAGGCGAGTTACTAATTATAAACTTTTTACGAGACATTAGTCATGAATTTTAACTATGAATCTTTTTACGAGTACAAGCTTTTTTTCCTTTTCGTTCTTTAAAAACGGGAATTAATCAAAGCGGGTGGGATGTGCGCAATTTGCGCAACATTTTCTACGTGAACTATCGTGGCATTATAATTGTACGCAATTAACGACCGAGCGTTGCTCGCGAATAGCGCCGATTGTTTGTAAATGAGTGTTTATCAAAACAACAGGTCCATTGTGAAAGGACGAAGTAAATAACCTGCTCTTATCGGCGGAATGCTAATTAGCCGAGATATCTTAGCGCGATATGTAAGCAAACAATCATAATTTGATAATCTTCTTTGTTTCAAATTCTTTGTTCGCCTTTCATAAATAACGACGTGTAAACTTTTGGAATTACAAAATAATTTAATAACGTACTTACGACAATTTATGTTTTTATATAAATATAGTATACACTATCAGAAATAAGATACAGAATATTGTTTTATTTTCTTGAAAAGTGTGAGTCCGTGTTTTGTGAAAATGAAAAAAGCATTCGTATTATATGGAAAACTAGCTGCTGCCCGCGACTACGTCTGCGTAGGCTGAAGGCTTAACATTCAGACAGAAAGACAGATATATGTATATAAATTATAGCCTTATTCTGATGTATAACTTATATTATTGTAAAGTTTCATTAAAATCCATTCAGTAGTATTTGCGTGAAAGAGGAACAAACATCCATCCATACATAAAAACTTTCGCATTTATAATATTAGAAAGGTTTATGTACCCACATTAGACAATCAAGATGCCCATGTCGATAGTTCGATGGCTTATAGTGGATAGAATCTGTATTTCCCAATCACTGGTCGCCTGGTTCTACAGTGCTTACTACACAGAAACGAGTAATGAAAGCTCATATGTTATACTTACACAAACACTTTCTGTAAAACGCTTTCGAAAGTTTAAAAATTCTCCCTCTGCAAAGATCGGACATAAAAAATTGTTAAAAATTGTTTGAAAAAAATCTACAAATTGCGTTTCAATACCGACCAGAATTTCTACTTGCGTAATCGTGCGGCTATTTAGCTCTGCGTGGGCGAAGAAGCAATTTCGACGAGTCCTCGGGTTCATCGAAATTGGGGTAGGGACCGAGTTTGTCTAAATATTTGACGGCCCTTGTACCTCGGTTGACGGCCCTTGTCCCTCATTCCGACCGATAAAACGTGTCCGAAATGCGGGAGTGGATTGGGTAGTGCTGCCTTTGCCCTTAGTGAGAAGATGGGGTAACGTTGAAATAGAACACTACACCCCTCGGTAGCTTGCTCTAAGTTGAATTCACACATGAAAACTCCTTCAGCCTTCAGTGATTCAGAAATTGGAAGAACCATTCAGTCGAAATAAGCTCCTTTTGAACGTCAAAAATACTACCACCGGTTCACTAAATAAACCCGTTCTGAGTAGAATATACTTCAAGATACTCTGTGCTCTTGTTATCCTTTTTTAAATGATATTAGTGTACAAAATTTGTTAAGTATAAAATCAGCAGCGATCAGGGGACTTTTAAATGCAGAGCAAGAGTCATTTCGACAAACAATGTATTTTTTGACATTATAATAAATCGTTTCATTAGGATAGCTTTTACAAAATGTTTGAAATCCTTTACACTTAGTAGTTTGTCATTTTTCACTCGATTCGACCGCTAACCGGTTAGCGACAACAATGTCTAAACAATAAACTGAAGCTTTGCAGTAAGTTAAATAACTAGTCCGTTCGTATCACACGAAACGAGGTCCGTTTACAAACCGTCCAGAACAATCCGAAGGCGTTAAGAAAACGATTCGCTTATCAGAAACACGCAATAAATTATCAAATTACCGCTCGATTACGCGGCGCGTTTTCCGCGGAGCAGTCTTTACAAAGTTAGCGTTACGTAATGGTCTCCTTATCGATGTCATTGAACCAGTTATAATAAAATTTACATTCAACTCGCATTGTTCGCTCTCACAATGCGTTCGCTATCGACGCGGCTCAGTGGCGCACGCTCGGCAGTCGCGAGTTCGATTCCTGCGTAGCGTCCGAGGTGGTTTGTCTGGATGTTTTTTTTTTGTGAGACGGTGGCAAACCAGCTGGCAGTTCCCCTGGCTTTAAGTGGTAACCTCCCCCCATGGATATTAGCTACACCCATAGAGTTGCAGATGGCCCTACCACATTTAAAGGGTACAAGATTGTGTTCAGAGAGACTGACATAATAATAAAACTGACGTAAGCTTCTTCAAATGTAACGATACGATATTATCTGGACGAAGGAACGAAACTGCCACGTCCAGCAATATATAGCTTTTCTAATATTATCGGTAACTCGTGGTCATTTACACACAGTTTATTTACAGAATGTTGATAAATAAATGCTGCATGCGACGAGGAATTGTGTCTAATTACAGATAACACGACGCAGAATAACGGAAATACAAATAATTTATTCCTAGAAACTTTATCTTTAATACATTTCTTGAGATTGTGACCCTGTCACTAGTGTGATTATATTATACACTAAAAGTTTTTTAATTAACGTAGGTAGTATTCTAACCATGGGCACCTTCCGAGTCGGTCGCTATTACCACACGAGAGGAACCGCAGAATATATTACTTCCACTTCACGCCCGTAACTCCTGAAGAGCCTTATAAATGGGAAATCAACCAAATTGCGCTTGGCAACTCATATCGCTGGTTCCGTGAATGACGGTGACTTTATACCCTGGGGCTGATAGGGATATCATCTGATGAGTAGAGAGTTTGTTTTTTATTGTGGTAGGACCACGCAACAGTTTTCACTGTTGCACGAATGGGCAGGTCCGTCCGGGCAAGTACCACAACCTCACGGAAGACTGGCGTAAAGTAGAAGTGCTATGCTTGTGCGTTTCGTCTGGTGAGTGAGGTAGCCGGGGCCGACTTTATTTATAGGCAACGTATTAGCAACCCTACGGGTATGGCAAATGTCCATGGGCGGCGGTCATCACTTAACATGAGGTGAACCGTCAGCTCTTTTGACACTTTATCACATAAAAAAGGGAGATTCTCCTGTAAAGCATTGCCATCCTATGTGATGGTGGAACGCTTACTGCCGTGAGTGGGCTGCGTACAGACAAACGATGACTCAGGGGCTACGTGGAAAATGTTAGAAATTCCGAGAAGGCATTGGGCGCGGCGCGAGGGTTGGGCGACCGGCGTATCGCGGCATTAAATGAAGTAACACAGCCCACACAAACAATGCGTATTTACATCAGTTAGGTCCGTACCAGGAAAAATATATTGGCGATATAATTGTAATTTTAGTGCACACTACACAGGCTAGACCAGGGTTTCTAAACGACATTAAGAAGCAGAACGTGAATACTAGCAAATTTAGAAAGGTTCTTCGCACTGGACAATGTTTATAGATCTAAGATATTTCGGGAGACTTGTGAACTATAATAATTTCTCAATTTAATAAGACTAACTTACAATTCATTTTAATTTTTAATTCCCGACATTCCCGAATGCTGTAAAGTATCGAAATCAAAACAAACGTTGTTAGTGCGTTGCCAACATTTAAAAAGATCGGCCCATGCACCTCAATTACGAAGCTGAATTGTTTAGTTTTCCCTAATCCCTACTAATATTATAAATGGGAATGTAAGTTTTGTTACGTCTTCCACGCCAAAACTACTCAACCGATTATCATGAAACTTTGTACACATATTCTTAGAGGTATTAAAAAGGGTATGGGATTCTTTTATTAATTGTTTTTAAATGTGTTTGAATATCAAGCTCCTATTAAATTGGAATTCTTGATTAAAAAAAAATCTTCAATATGTATGAACTGTGTATTTGTCGTCGGTTCATAACAATTTTTGAGAAAGCGAAGACGCGGGCGAAGAGAAAGTTATCATAATAATAAAACCAAGCGAGTATCGTTCAAAATGCCCGAGTTTATTCAATTTTAAAGTTAGATAGATATGGTCTCCGCGAGCGCTTAGTTGTGACAAGGATAAGGCATGTCCGAGTACAGAATACGAATGTCTGTTGCCCACAAGCGAGCCAGCGCTGCGTCACGCAGGCAGATTGTTACCAGCCCGCTGCGCGCGGAGCGTGAAGATGCACATCTGAGGAGCATACGAGTACAATGCGCCGGATGTGCATTGTGATTTGTACTAGCGGACGCCGGCTAGTGCTGCGCCTCGGCACGTTGCACTTATCGACTGTCGGGCAAACTTGTCGATGTGTCATATCGACTATGGTCGTTGCGCAAAATTGGTTGACACATGCCTATTCGAGTGTCGCACCAGCTTAGACTGTGCTCCACGTCTTTGCTGTTGCATTGCACACTGCTAAAAGGTGGCAACGCGTTGAAACCATACGTTTGTTGCAGTTGTTTAGGCGGCGGTTGTTACTTGGCATCTGAGCTGATCGAAAGTCGTCGATCAACGTTGATAGATGTAAAATAAATAGACCAATCTGCCCACACCGAATCTCTTGTCGTTTTCGAATGATGCTTGAAAAAACCTAAGTACGGATAAATTTTTATTGGTCGCTTTTTGATTTTTGAAATGGGTTCGGGCACTGGATATCGGCTAACCTAACCAAACTCCTAGCATTCTCTAAGTCTTAACATATTCGTATCGACATCGCGCGGCCCCACCCGCAGACCGCTTCCCAGAGCCGCCATTATATGCAAATAGCTGTGAAGCAACTATCACAATAATTACACTTCTCGCAGTTCTTGCCCAACAGCGCCGTTGCAATTTGGAACCGAATGCAACGACCTCTGACAACCTACGAATCTCTATCCGTTGCCAATTATGCATGTAACACAAATAGGGAGAAGTATCTTAGTCATTTCGTCCATGTTTATATTATAATCCCGGACACAGCCGTGATAGCTCAGTGTCCAGGAGTTCGCTCTTTATTCGATACACTCGACCAACCTAATTTCATATCCCGGAGCTGGAACCGATGACATATTTTATTACTTTGAAGTGCTGACTTATCACGTGTTCAGCGGTAAAGGAAAAAATCGTGACGAAACCAGCATATTTTCAAAATAATGCATACTTCGCAAATCTTCGAAATATTTGTAACATAAGGTCGTGTATGGCCTATTATATATTATATTATACGCTGTATAGTAGGCGACCTTCGCCCAGCAGTAGGATATATATTTGCTGTTACTCTACTTTTACTTTATTATATGATTATCTAATAACAAACATAGAGTAGCAAATCATAGAAATATAACGATTAACGGCCGGGGCTTCAATATTACATCTACAGATAGATTTGGTTACTAGCGTCAAAATTCTATCTCCAGTAACCAAATTGTAGATAGAATATTGAAACCTACCGTAATTCGAAATGAATTTGAAATAAAATAGCTAAGTATATATCAGAGACGCTTTCATGCGGAATAGTGAAAATGGTCGAAACGAAATCCTTGGAAGCGACGCTAGCCGTTTCCAGTGCCAAACCGCCTTGGCACTTGGCAGGCGCCTGGCGAGTCGTCTGCGGCGGCTATTTACGTCAATCACTCCAAAATGGGAATAGGCATTGCAACCCGACCTTACATTCGTACGAATAACATTAGAGAGATAAGGTGACATTGACTTTATTTCAACCGTTTTAAAAAAAAATGAATACGCCGACACATAACATTGCCAATTAAAAATCACTCATGCGTCATATCGTTACGAACACAGCGAAGCATTATACTAGACGGTATCCATTAGGAGTTGCGCAAGAATTAAATAGAAACGGAGAGACGGTGGTCGTAAAAAAAGCTTTATGTCGTTACCCGGTTACTGCTATAATAACAATAACATTTCTTTGCGACTAAAAAACTCACGCAAAAAGCTCCCGAGCCGTCAGAGGCCTTCGCCGGGTACCGGGAAGGACGACCTCGGGAATCTAAAAATCGTCCACAATTAAGCTATAAACAGTGCGGGGGGGAATACAGCAGCGTAGTAGTAGGTAGGGAAGGGGGAGACAAAAAAAAAAAGCGCGCGCCCGCCGCCTTGGAAGTGGGTCGAGGCGGCAACGTCGCATAGCGGTACCGCGCGGCGCGGCAACGTCGCCCAACCGCCGCAACACCCGTCCATAGCGAAGAGGGTGTTTTCGAATTTCGCGACATTCTCGTGAATGCGCGATGCAAAAGGCCGAACACACACAGATCGATAATATTATAAGTAAATGCACACGCAGATAACATACATATCTTGGATGCGCAATGCGTCTTATTGCGCTTACGTCACGTCTGCGGCGATATCTTAATACGCCGTTTAAAGATAGCCCGTTCTAACGTATACGCAGCCACCGCGCCGCGTTCGATTCAATTCGAAACAAAGGACGCATTAGCCGCTTCTCATATCTCCCGTGCTCGTTCCTAAACCAACACGAAGAAATGCGTGGAGGTCTCAAATTGGATGAGCTTACGAACGATTCACATACGACCACACTCAGAAACTATATTTAACACTTAAATAGCATAAAATGAAGTCCAGTGATAAAAATAATTTAATGGCATTTAAGCACTAATTGACTTCTCTGCTCGCGACCGATAGGAATGGAGCAGTTTTACCTAAAATAACAAAATCGCTTACCTTCACATGTCTAGAAACATCACTTGCTTATCGATGAACAGTAGTCATCGTCATTATAATTGATCCGTACATAATAAGTGAAGAATAATAACCATAATTATTTTGTCGTGTTCATTAAACATCATAATATCATTATGAAACCAAAGTTGTTATTTCTGTTGTTGACTTTTGTTTTTAGCATAATACTTAGTTAAGCATTTGTTTCTCTTTTTCTAAATCATAAACATTAAATAAAAGTTGTTGAGGTAGAGAGAGTACTATTTGAAAGCGCCTACGTTTTATACTTTTCCCGCGGGCAAATTTAGACTTCGTATTGTTATAAACTTTACCCCAAATATTCTGTGTTACGTATTTAAGGAAGGTAAACTGATCCCACAGTTGTTGATAAATTTAATGTTTCCAGTGAATATTTTTGCTTATGTTTTACATAAACTGTTTGAAACAATTTTGAAATTTATAACAAACGTTGATACAAATATGTCCTTTTATTGATATTTTTTGGAAAATATGCAGGTTTTTGGTCACAATGTTTTTCTTCACCGCTTAGCACGCGATACGCCAACATTTAAATTTAGCAATTTTTTTTTTTAATGTTAGGACTGGGATTTGAAGTCAGCTTGCTCAAGTAAAATGAATTAAAAGCCAGCGCCCGTACACTAAGCTATATCGGCCCAACATATTTATCAATAACAAAATAATGCCCAAGGCAACATTTCTACGTTATCTTTTGCTGTATTTTATGTATTATAAATGTAACTATATTAAATGTAACTTTATTAATAAAAACAAAATCCATCGACACAGTGTTTTTGCGTGACACGAAAAGTGCATCACACTACAAAAAGGCTCTGTTACTGTATAAAGCAAAAAGACAACACGAGCGGTGCGGCAACGTCGCGCACTTAGCGCGATCTGGCAACGCCGCGCCCGTGCGCCCGGCGAATAAAAAATAATATTTACTTTAAAACGGCGACCTGGCGGGAATTTTAAATGGAAAAAAAAAAAGCACGAGGCATGGAAAATTACCATTTCACATTCTTTGGTTGAGAGGTAGGTATTAAGAGAAGCGAAATATCAAAGCTGTGTGTCGTTATTACACGGAGGCGGTGTCGTTCAAAAGGCGAATTTTTATGTAACATAAGTGAAGAATGGTAAGCGCCCACGGTTCATCGGCCCTAGCAGATGTTCGCCTTACAATAATTGGACGAACATTCTGTCGGAGTAGGTGTTTGTGAATAAAGGTGAGAATAGTGTTTTCACGGAATAATTACCGTTTGTATGCGTGTTATGGAAGGTAGGAAAGAGAAAAATGTTCGTCGTAAATACCAAAAAACGATTTGATAACGTTGTAATTTAATATCGCGGATTTGAGCGATATTAAATGTGGCAAGCAAGCTGGCGGTTCACCTGATGTAAATGATAACTACCGCTCATGGACATTTGCAACACCGATAGGGTTGCAGGTTGCAGATGGGCTGCCACCTTTTAATAAAATGAGCCCCCGGCTACCTCACTCGCCAGACGAAACGCAGAAGTGTAACACTTCCACTTCACACCGGTCTTCTATGAGGTTGTGGTATTTACACGGACGGACCTGCCCATTCGTGCAACAGCAAACCGTTGCGTCTTCCTACCACAGTTCTTTTCGCCTTTTTGCATTTTTTTATTTCCACCTTCCGAGCAACTCATAGCCAGTTTGCAGTTAAGACTACATCGCTAAAGGCTGGTTTCAATATTTTATCTATCTGTAGTTTAGGTCACTGGAGATAGAAATATGATGTAGGTATTATGGACCTGATGTCAAATATGCCTTGAGCTTGATGACCCCGTGGCGCAGGTGTCAAGGTATCAGCTTCGGCGTCGGGGGTCGTGGGTTCGATCCCCACACGGGACAACTATTTGTGTGACCCACAGATAGTTGTTCCGCATCTGAGTGTTTGTCCGCGTGAAATTTATATTTGTAAAACGTTTGTAATGTTATCCTAAAGTAAGGGCGGTGTTTTTTAAAAAAACAAAAAAAAAAGAAAAACCTGTCGTCAGTAACGAAATCTACAGATAGTATTGGAAACGGCCGTAGATGCGACCGACGCGACGGGGCGGTCGCAGCGGCCGGAGCGACGCGGCCGTCGACGGCGGGAGGGGAGGCGCGGCAGTCGCGTCCAGTCGCTGCCGCGGAGCGCCCGCTGCGTCTTTTCCGTCGCAAGCCGCGTCGACGAACGGTCGAGCGCACGATTCCGACCTTCGCATTATACGTTTATAATAATCTCACTCTCGACTGGTTTAAGTTGCTCGCAAAACGGCGTTTCATCTAGTACACAGACTCGAACTAGACGGCTGAGTATTAGCGAGCCACCGCTTCTGCCGTAAACGGGAGCTTTGCTAGCGGGAACGTACTTTATGAGAAGGCTCCATTCTTTAAGTCAAGTTAGCAGCTTGGCTCGATGACGGAGACAGCTGATGCGATGGACTCCAGCTTCCGGCCTCTGCGGCTGATCGAGGAGGTGCGGAAGCGGCCGGGGCTGTACGAGCCAGGCCACTCGAAAGACCGGCTGGAGCGGCTCCAGCTGTGGAAGGAGGTCGGCGCGGCGCTGTTCCCCAACTGGGGGACCTTCAACAAAGCTACCGTGTACCATACAGGTAGAAATCGCGACGGAAGTAGCCTTTATACGTATGAAGTATAAGTAAAGTTTATACTATATGTATGAAGAAAATTTTGTCTAGAGAATTTTATACGGAAGTGATGGTTTTAAAATAGACTGCATCCAAGCTCACTAAAAGTGATTCATACGCGGGAATTAATCGATACCGAGGTACGAGATAAACCGAATTGAATTATAGTTTCCTTTGGCCAGTCTTAAGGTATTTCCTGTGTCAAGAACTGAATTAGTTCACTTGGAGGTGGCCGGTGTAATGCTGAAGTAAATCGAGTGACCGCAGCGACGATAGTCGCGTAGGAACATTACTTGCCTCCTATTATATCATGAGTTCCTGATACGATTAGCAATGTGAATGGTATAAGAATATTCAGCGGAAATTCTGTGGAGCGAAAAGCCTATGGAATGCTCAGTAGAGCATTCCATAGACTTCTTCGTACTCGGGCAGGTAGTGTAGTAACACTGTTCGGGATTTAAATTTCTTACAGAAAAAAGTTTATTGCAAATTGTGGAAGATCGACAACTAAATATACAAGGATAAGAAAGCTTTAATTCATAATAAAATTTAATTTACCTATTTTTAGGCGTTCTTTTGGGTACTCTAGGATTTTTGCGTGTTCATTGGTACTGGAGCGTTTTCTATTCTACGCCTACGTCCATGAGGCAGTTATGTCCTTGTTGGCGACATTTAATGCATTATTTAAAACATTATTTAACCCCATTTCGCGCGAGTTTGCGGAATGGCTTTATGTGGCCTCAATGGCGCCGCATGGAAGTTGGAACGTCGTAACATTGTCGCACTGTCGACTGACGTCGTGTGTATGATAAATGCGCGTCTATTTATAAAACTTGAGTCAACGACTGCGCGGACCAGTGCTGGAGGGATTCGCAAATCGACAATTCGGAAGGGTTCGATTCTCGGGACAATTGATTTCGGATTTAATTTCCTAAGCAGTTAGGCAACTGCTTTTTACTGCTAACGTTCATACATAATCGTTCGGACGTAATGGGACTTACTTCTCGCCAGGTTTTATTATGATTCTAGTACACATTAAACATGAGATTTCATAAGTACCTTTTCATCACAATAGAAAATATGTATGAATATATAATTGATATATATAAAAATATATTTAAATGTGATCTGTGAAGATGGCGGCAAGCGAACTGGCGGTTCAACTGATGTTAAGTTAAAACTGCCGCCTATGGCCATCTGCAACGCCCGTGGGATTGTAGATATGTTACCACATTCAAAAAAAATGGGCCCAGGTTACCTCATTCACTAGACGAAATGCAGAAGTATGTAATATTTAATTTATTTTATTTTATTTTTTTAAAAAGGCATTGCCCTCAGTTTAGGATAACATTATCCTATGTTGCAAGGACGTTATTACATACATAAATTTCACGCGGACAAACACCCAGATGCGAAACAACTATCTGTGGGTCACACAAATAGTTGTCCCGCGTAGGAATCGAACCCACGACCCCCGACGCCGAAGCCAATACCGTGACGTCTGCGCCACGGAGTCTCCGTATGATATAATATTTCAATTTCACGTCGGTCTTCGTGTGTGGCACCACACGACTTCGTAGAGTCTGACCAATTGTGCAACAGCGGAAGCTACTGCGTGGCCCTACGACAGTTGACATTTATCTCCTCCGTTATAAATGTACAGTTTAGTTCGCGAATCATAAATATGATTATTGCATTAAAATATTAAATTAAAATTAGCAAACAACACTAACTTATCGGCTTAGGGAGCGATAATGCTTAGCGTGCACTAACTTTGCTCGCTTGTAAATTTAAACGAAGACCACCAATCAAGGCGGTACCGGGACTTCGGGACAACTTACTAACTAATACTAACAACAAGAGCATTGCGAATTCCCATTTGACGCGCGTCTTCGACGGAAATGGAATTGGGGGCGAACTCATCAGAGGGCCGTTGCTCAGTCCTGCAGATACAGAGGAAATGGCGTTCGCTGCGCGACGCGTACAACCGGGAGCTGAGGGCGCGCCGATCAGGGGTCAGGGTCCACCGCCGGGTCTACGTCTACTTCAAGAGGATGAGCTTCTTGGGCGGCTTCGAGGGCGCGCTGAGCGAAGAGTGAGTGTCGCCAGACCAGCAGGCCTACTCCCGACAGATTCGAGTTCTGAATCAATCGAATTTGACTCGAACTCATGCCAGTTCCTACCACTGAATCTGACGCCAGCGCACAATCGAGTAGTGGCTCTAATTTGAACTAACTAAGATCGAATAATTTTAAGCAATTAACATTTTATCTAAAAAAACATGGAACATTTTTCTGTGAAGCAATGTCTGGCCGGATACAGTTGACGGATTTGATAACGCACGATCTTATTTCTAGTTTCGATTAGGTTCGAGGGTAAGCTTTTCAAATCGAGTTCGAATCGAGAACAAAAACAAATTCTCATCGAATGTGGGGCGAGACGCAGACAGCAAGACGGCGTTCGGAGTAACAAAAACTTTGAACACATGAGCGCGAAATTTCGGAGGTGGCCATTATGCCATCGTTTAACGTCACACGGATCGGGATTTTGCAAAGCTATCGTGCGTTACATAGACGGCCGTTTTCAATAACCAATCTATCTTTAGATTTGGTAATTGGCGATAGAATTTTGATATAAGCATTATGGACCTAATGTCAAATACACGTAGCATTCAGTTCCTTAGTACTTCGCCGCTTGACGGCGACGCTATATATATATATGCTTCAAATTATTATAGTACAAAAAGTTTAAGAATATCGTGTCGACATGTATAAAGAGGTTAATTGGCCCAGTTTCTTTTTAATTTGGATTAAATGAGAGTAGTTTCCATTGTTCTTCCTGCTTCCGACAATTATCATGTTCAAAGTCCATTAGTAATTCGTAATTACAGAACAATTTAGACGTTTTCAACTACAGTTGAGCGGCCATCCTAGATGAAAAGGCGGCTAATGATTTCTTTTATACTAGTTCGTAAGTTTAATGGCGTCTTTTGAAATCTTTTCGTCTTGGCGTCTTCATATCTTTGCTCTGTACAGAATGTACACATATTATTTATTACTCATGCGTTTGATTATAAACACGGGTATCGTACACATGACAACTCAATTGCGTGAGCTTTGATTACATCGAGTCATAAGCATTTTTCTTATTTACGCGAATATCTTTATATTTATAATATTTTTTATTCATATTTTCCAAAGACATAATTATAAAGAAAATTACTGTATTTATTATACAGAAGGCCTGAATTTTACACCAACTGGTAATAAAAACGGTTCAATTGATTCAATTGAATTTATCATGCAACATATTTGAAATCGTAGCCGAGGCCATTTTAACTAAATATTTTATTTTTAAATTTATGATTTTTGTATTTAAGCGAATAATTAATCAAGTTTATGCATGCTATCGAGGTTTATTCATTTAAACTCCCGACACTTATAAATTATAATTTTTCTCATTATTCAAAAAGAAAATCAGGTCACGCGAAAAATTATTCCACGCCGATAAATTTCCGCAAGTTCGAGAAGATCTTGTAAGCCGACGGAATATTTAAGATCTCTGAACCTCTGTACGTATTTGAATTACTCGTGATACTAATATTCATGCCAAGCGAATGAATAGTAAACGCTCGTTCCTAACGAAACGAAACTTGCGAAAATCTCAACGCGAACACGTTGAAGACGTAAAGACATTGGAACGCTGCAAGTGGCTAAACTGCGGTGTTCCTTTGTGTTTATCGCCTTCAACGTTAAGGTCACCATGTTTGCAGCGAGGACAATTCCACGGCGGAGCTGGATCCGCTGGTCAACGGGCACGTGAAGCCAGCCAAGCCTTTAAAGCCCAGGCCGAGGAGGAAGAGGCGCGCGAAGGCATCCAGCTCGGACGAGAGCCCGTGCCCCGAGGAGGTGGAGATGCCAGTCTTCAACAACGTCGAGGTTAATAGCGAAATAGGCTCGGACACCGACAAGCTGTTCCTGCTCTCCTTCCTGCCGGAGATGAGGCAGCTGCCGCCCAACGTCAAGATGTGGACGCGGGCTCAGATCGCGAACGTGATGCAGGAGGCGGTCGCGTGCCATTACAGTAACACGCAACCGGCGGCGCTCAGCGACAGGAGCGCGGAAATTAAGCGACAGATAAAAGACAGCAGCGACTGAGGAAGTAACGGCCAGTCTCTCGCATACATCGGTTTCGTGCAACGATGGGAGACCACGTTTATGGATGTGGTCTCCTTATGACGTTTGCTTATGCCCGGTTCCTATATTCAACGAATGGCCGTTAGTTACATAGCTTCGTAACTTTCATAACGACTTGTAGATTAAAGGAACGCTTGGTAACTCACTTTCCCTAGGTGATGCAACGGTTCGTGAGGAAAACGCCTCGATTTGTTAATATAGGAACCAGGCGTACACGCCTTTTATCTACAAGTCGTTATGAAAGTTACGAAACTATGTAACTAACGACCGTTCGTTGAATATAGGAACCAGGCATCAGTCTCCCGTTAGTTGGGGTGGCGTATATACGCGATTTCATTCCTTCTACACCACTGCGATAGGAACGATACATATCTAGACTCGAAAAATACGGTTGTGAATAAACGTGTACGTAAATTTTACACACGAATACGAAACCTGGCTTCTTTTTCCAATCCGTCATACCCAACGGGAGACTTGACGCGTAAATCAATCATTTGTAAGCCTTCAACGTTGATTGAATTCAAAAAATCCGTGCATAACAGAGACCTCATTAGGGTAAGATTATTATGATTGTTAAAGCTTTTAAATTTGCATTTGTTATGTATGTAAATATATACGGAAAGTTTGGTATTTGCTTATAGCAAACACCGTTGGCGTTCGTTAAAAACAATAATTACAATAAATTGTTAGTTATGATATGGAATATTTCATTTGCTGCTCACCTCGATATGCTTAGGTACCTGCAACAAACAATAATCCAAACGTTACTCGAGTTATATCAAAACATGTTTTGGTTGCCGCGAGTGTTTATAAAACACTCGATGAATAAAGATGGCCGGCTTTCCTCCCGCTGTAGATGGGCGGGAGAACTTATTGTGGTTCCCACTCTCATGTACATAACATACATAAACAACCGAACCATGGATGTGAGGTTGACAACACGAAACTGTTTTTGTTTTTAAAATATGTTATAATATTATGTGATAAAAAAAGACAACAAAACATTTATAGACTTTATCGCTAGATAAGAAAGTGTATTTTCATTGAGATATATTTTTAAAAAAATATTTACTATTGAATTCGCAGCAATGGGATATAGCAACATATATGCCCAGTTTCCGAAAGACCAATCACATAACACTATGTCAAAAATGATCAGCTGTTAATCTCTTGTTAAACTGCCTTGGGTTTCTGGTAGGTTTGTTCAAGAAAAATTAGCTAATCACTGTATAACCAACGATAATGAATGAAATGAATGATTTACTTCAACTAACTCTTTCTATTGTATAGCTGTCCCTTTTTAAACAAACCTTAAATTAACGTCACTATCCAGTCCTGTCAACGTGTGATTGCCAACGTAAAAATCCGAGCTATAATAAAATTTAATTTATATAAATACATGCAAAATGTCAAGAAAAAACATTACAGAACGTGAAAAAAATTAACTGTTATTCATAATAAACAAGTAAGTATTATAAAAAGAAAGAATCCATATTATTTATTAACTTTTGAATTGCATTTTCTATTTTGTCTAATCGCATGATATGTTCGCATAATAATAAATAATAAATAGGTAATAGAACACATAAATTTCCTTACAACGTATTAGGGAATTATGTTTATTTCTAATAAAAACTAAGATTTTTGATAAAATACATTTTTAACCAACGATTGATCGTCCAAATAGACAGATTACTTAATAAAACTTTTGACAGCTCGTTGACCAACGAAAAACGCTTTCAGAAACTCGATTTTCTTTTGATTGTCCGTTAATCAGTGACTAATTGCAAATCAAAATCAATTTGTTTTCAGACGTTCTAGCAACTCAGATCATGTTAAGCAAAGATTGACAAGAGATTTATCGTAAAATAAAATTGATTGCGTTTTTGGAAACTGGGTGATAATGCCTTATACATTAGTTTATTCTTCTACACCAAATAACACTATCTTACAAAATTCAAGTGACAAGTAATTTACTGACAATGTAATGAGTTCCAACTTTAACGTTATTTGATTAAAGGGACTAAATCAAAAAGTTAAACCTTAAAGTTAAACAGAGTTTAAATCGAGTTGGAGCCAACTTTAAAATACTTCCATCGAGCTTAGTTACTTTTGTGATATATTCCGTGGCTCTTATGGCTGCAATGGAGTTTGCATATGAGGGCTTTAACGTACTCTGCCCACCCCGGCATGTTTAATGTGTGAAGTTAAGCGGCAAATCATGCTCAGCCGCAATGGACGTAAAGGCGTATCCCGCACGGATGTAGGAATAATGTTTTAAATTGAAAAACTTGCGATATTTCAACGTAAAGTTCCGCCATTACGCGGGCTAGCTGGAACCAGGAGCGGAATGGTAGCGCCCGTAAAGCGTTTTAAGCGAAGAGAAAATCTCCCTCGATTTTTCATATCGGATTAACTGCGCAAGTTCAAATATTAATGTGTTTTATTGTTTAATGTTTTTTACTAAAACTTTGCACCTACTTTAGGACAAACTTCCTGTGAAATTTAGCACTATACATAAGTAAACCGTCCTACAAAATATCCACATGGGGAATGTCGTTGCGGGAAACGGATGAACTATCCGCATCCACGCTTAAATCTATGGGTCGGCACCATCGCCAAGCCCCTGGATAAATAACGGTTGAACTATTTGATGGTAACGCTATTTAAGGGCCACGCAACAGCCTCTGCTGAAACATCACACCTGTCGGGAGACCAGCGTGAAGTAGAAGTATCATACTGTCGCTTTTCGTCTGAAGTGAGGCAATCGGTTCCCGCTTTCTTAAAATGTTGGCAACGCTTTCACAACGCAAGCGTTTACGTCCACGAGTGACGGTAGTCACTTAACATCAGGGAACGCCTGCTAGATTGCCAACATTTTGGCGTATAATAATGACAGTGCGCATCATCTAAAATTAGGTCTCCTCAGTCAGTGGGCCACGACTTGCTCTCCTTTTGCAGTAGACGTTTCGCCCATAAAACGATCTGCGTCCTATTCATGTATAAAATTATTAATATACAAAGCGGGTGCCTTTAAGACACGTGTGAGTAGTTTTCTACTGAGTGTCCGAGTGTACCAGCAACGACCGCGTCAGTAACGTCGTGGGTCTATTGTAATAGTCTAAAGGTAAGTAATCTAACTGCGGTAGGGCCACGCTGTCGCACGAATGAGCAGGTCCGTAAGTACCACGACCTATCAGAAGACCGGCGTGAAGTACAAGTGTTACACTGAGCGAGGTAGCGGGGGCCCACTTTATTACGTTGCGTTTCCGCCTGTCGGACTGGTGTATCAACAATACGAGCGTCGGACTCCGCGCAATCGCTCCGCGGAACGTCCTCCAAAAGTTCGGGGCCACGTCAACGGATGTACTCATCATGGAGAACATTAATCATACGATAAAACAAAAAAACAATAAAATAAAACCCCGACCGCCCCAAAGTCAATGTTATTTATGATAATGACACCAGCCGGTGCCCGAAGGTCGCGAAAAAAGCTCGAACTAAAGTCACGGGCGCGTGTACTCGATTCGTTAGCAAAAAGCGAACAAAACGATCCCAATGAGTAATTGCGCAAAGTTTAAGTGCAATTTGTATTTTAATGCCACTGAACTAAGAAAATGTGTTTGGCAATTGTAGTAGGTATTTGCTAACGTAAAAATCATCGATGGACTCGACGAATGTTGCGCTATATTATTACGTTTCAAGGAAATATCTTATTAGGTCGAAGACATCGGAATGTAATAATATAGCTCCATTAGGAAAGTTTAAATTAATTCCAAATAAAATACAAATTCAAACGCACCGATTTTAAGCAAAAGATACTAATAAGCTGTGTGATATATTATATAAGACAAAACAATTACAGTACTGAGTCTTATTTTTTCTTTAATTAAAATTATCCCGGCTGTAGTAAAAACATTTTACAAGAACAAATAAACAAGGTAGAGAAAAAAAATCGGGCACAGAACGGATATGAGTGATAAAAATCTGTAGTCGTACTCTCGGCATAAACACCATAAATTCAAGAAAAAAAATTGGTAAAATACCGTTTATCGAAGTTTTCGTATGTAGTCCAAAAACTTTGATGATTTAACGTAATTTTTATATATTTTTTCGTGTTTTCTTAATAAATCACAAAAACATCTCAAGAGATCACAACACATTAGACGGCAGAGTAACTCAATCGGGGTCTTTCTATTCGGGAACCGGTGAAAGATCTTGACTTTCCTAAGTGATAGCGACAAGCATAAATCGAGTAAACTCGAACTGATAACTCCAACGTCCCAGTTAGGCTGGGCCATACCTAGTTAATTTCCGTAGTAATTGAAAGGAGAAAGACTGACGCCCGATTTTCGTACACTGATCGTTGTAGAAGTTAACTAATCAGCTATCAAATGGATGGTTAAAATCTTTCAATTGATCGTTCTGATCAACTTTTACTTTTTAACCCATAGACTTAGATCCTAAGTCTATGGGTTGGTTTGATGGTTTAACCATGCTTTTGACGATCAGTGTTTCATAAACCGGGCGTAAGGACGCGGCAAAACGTCGCTCGACCGCAGCGCGACGTTGCCGCGCCGCTCGCGGCACAGAGCGGCGAGCCGCAGCGGCGCCGCGCCGTCAACGCTGCGAGTGCGGCCACTCGGCCGCGGAACGCACGTGCGAGAGACGCGCGCACGGCCGCTCGAAGAGCGACATGGCATCGGAATGACCCAATCCCTGGACGTGCAGCTGTTCATCTGCCAGGTGGCGAAGCACCCGGAGATCTGGGACCTGAACAGCGAGGGCAACAGGCACAGGAGGAGCAAACAGCGCGCCTGGGCGCAGATCGCGCGCGTTTTCATGGCCGACTTCGACTCGATGCCGGATCGCGAGAAGCGGGAAGTGTGTAAGTGTCTTCTCCAACAAAATCAACGGGAATTATACTACTACTACTACAAATGAATATTGAAATACAATACAGTACAATAAAGGTTTCACCTTTATATCTACACGGGCTCGATGATTAGCCGAAATTTTAAGTGGAAAATTTCACGGCCTTTTCGATACGATATAAAAATAAACACCGAGTTAATTACAGTACAAGGGTCAGGGACATCCAATTAAAAAAGTCTATTTCGGGAAAACTACTTACAAAATATACAAAAATAAACATAACAATAGCGATCTTATGAAAGAATGAGATTGAGGTCAAGAGAACAAAAAGTAAGATAGAAGAAAGTCAAGAAGAGTGTTATTGCGTTTCATTGCTCTGTTTAGCAACAAATATCAAACATCCGTATGTGGCTCCATTTGCGTAGGCATGTCTGTAGAACACTCGCTGTGGAAATAGGCCAAGGGGCCGCGAAACACGAAGCTGAGATCTGCCGCATGCGAAATACACTATAGCGTCAGACCGTGGTAGTTCTGTCTGCAGTAGAGTTTAGTACGTCATACTCGAGCAATCCGAGTTGAAAACCTTAAAAAACTTAGGTTCATTACGCAAGAGTATTGCGTCGATTTCGTTTCACGTAAACATCAAAGGGCGTTCGAACCTGCTCCTATTGGCTACAGATGCCGATAATATATATCTATCTATTATGTATGATCATTCTACTAGTAACTGCAACACGAGCAACCACAGGGGACAATTAGCGCTTATCTTCCATTAGAATGTGTTTGGTTCTAGCGCTGCCCAATTCTAATTACTCGCTACCTGTCTCTGTACCCTCTGTATAGAGGAGGCCTTTGCCCAGCAGTGGGATACGTATAGGCTGCTACTTTACTGTCTCTGAATGCGGCCGTAAATCATCGCCTCGACCAAACTAATCACGAGGCGCGTCTTTCAGACAAGAAGCTGCACGGCAAATGGCGCAACATCCGCGACTCGTACGTCCGCGACCTGAGGAGGAAGGAAGGCAGACGGGGCTACATTTACGAAGAGCAGCTGGCCTTCCTCCAGGACCTGTACAGCAGCAGCAAGGGATCAGGAAGCGAGGACCCCCGGGAGCACGGTGAGGCGGCACACCGGAAGCGGTCGGCGGGCAAGAGACACGAGCTCAGCGGAGCCAGCGCTTTGGCCAGTGCTGAACCTCCGGTCATAGACAACCCAAGAAGGAGAAAGAGAGTGAACAAGGCTGATAAGATAGACTTCGTCGACACGCCGTGCCACGACCATGGACGCAGCTACCCCGTAGAGGACGAGGATAGGTCGTTCTTCGAGTCGCTTCTTCCCGCCGTCAGGGAGTTCGACGTGGACCGCAAACTGGAGTTCCGCAGCGAGGTCATACGCCTCGTGAAGCAGCTGAGGAACTGCGAGGGGAAAACCAAAGCGGACCCGTCCTAACGTCTATTTGTAGATACTATCGTTATGTAATTAAAGTATATACCATTCCATATAGTAAGTAAACGCCTTTACAGACATTAAATCTCGATCGTTTTTTAAATCGACGTGGCTGCAGTTGAATATTTTTTCACGACCTAATTACACAAAGTTACCCATTCCCAAACTATAGAAATCTTGTTACAATGGAAACTAGATGACTGATACACATACTTTTCTATTCCAAATAAATACATATTATAGATATATAAAGAATCCAGAAACTGGAAAAACACTATCATCGTCACACAATATTTTTTCGATTGGGGATCGAACCCACACCCTCTGGCGCAAGAGACAATTTCACTATCCACTACGCCAATTGGGTAGTCAATCATAAATAACGTCGACTGTTGCGAGTGACGGACAACTGCGTTCATCGTCAGATCCGAACACACGAACACGGCGTCGATTATCATAAAAAACTCGTAAAGTAAGTCTCGGGATCGTTAATTTAAAAAGTAGCGTAATTATAATAAGTAATTAATATTCATGAGCGAGGTCGTTTGCCGTTGAGGAGTTAACAAAGGGAATTTGAATTTCACATTTACTATTTACGACATATTAACTGATACTGCCCGGTTTGGATTTTAATTTTTAAGTTTTGGATGTCACTCATTTTGATATAAAATTTTCTTAAATTGCTCAACGTTGTTTCTTATTAGGTTTTTTATGTGAGAAAGTGGCATGGACATTTTCAACACCCTTAGGGTTTACCTAATAATAATCGGAGGTCCTTCATCGGGCTGAGTGACACCCCTTAGGGTTGCAGATGCGTTGCCTTTTAATGGGCCCCGGCTACCTGACTCACCAGACGAAACGCAAAAATATAACACTTTACTGTGAGGTCGTGGTACTTCTTAACCGGACGGACCTGCCCATTCCTGCAGACTGTTGAACGGCCCCACCATAATTAAATGTATATCTTGACGACCGATGTCACAATAACGAACACTGTAATTGAATTCTACTTGCATTCAGTTATAGTGTTACGTTAATTTTAACAAGACAAAACCATCATCTTCTATGGGTTTTGTAAACTATGCGAACTTATTTTTGCTTATTCTACGCGACAGGCAGTGAGATAAAAACAGCTAATTTCTTAGATACTTAACACAACACCGTTCAATACATGATTTGTAAATATAACACTACTTTCATTCATTACACTCCCTTCCGTTCGCACAATTCATACAATTCTCTCTCATTCATTGTCGCCGTAGCTATCGAGTGGTGCGCTTATCTACTATACGCGCGATACTATTATAAAAATTGCATACATATTGACTGCACAGTTCTCTTCGTGCCGGTCTATTTCAACTGTAAAACTTTCGAAACAAGCCTGGAGCGACCGAAACCATTACCAACCTACCAAACTCGCTGTGTGGGGAATAATGCGAACATCTCGAGCCCGGCTTTACGTAACGGCTGACGGTAGGAGCTGAACGCCGCGACAGCAACAAGTCATAATAACAATAAAATGTACAATGTTTGTGCGGCCGTACATAATGGCGCGTCCAAATAGCGGGACGGCAACGGCGCGGGGAAAGTTGCGGTGCGGCAACGGCGCGCGATCGATAGGCGCCCGGGCGTCGGGTCGGGTGGCGGGGGGAAGGGATGGCGCGGCCCGGGTTTGACCCTTCCGAAGCGATGCCCCACAGCTAGGTACGTATAGGCGCGTTGTTGTGTCGCAGAAAGGGAACACGTGCTCCGCTGACATACCTGACGGTGCGCTCGTGACTAGCTTTTGCCCGCGGACCCGTTCGCGCTCGCGTTACGCTGTTGAATATCCACCAGTATAAATTATTCTGTACGTTGGTACGGTGTCAAAGTAACTCCTTGACGAATCTCATACGAATTTATGGGGCAGTTCCCGGGTGAAAAGGGATCAAACACTCGTTTTTGCATCAATTACAATGAAATGAAAGCTTGGGGCCGTTAGTTTGGTTTAAATGAAAAATAATTTTAATTTTAATTGAACGCTTCCAGCATAATAAGAAAAACATTTTCATACTATAGCTATAGCTGTGATTAAAATAATGTAGGGGAACATAAAGAATAATCTTGCAATATCGAATGGAAGATTGATTCCGCACTTAAATCAAAGTGTATCTTTACGTAAATTAACCTAAGCAAAATCTCAAACTTTTTGTATAAAGTACAATTTTTTGTCTCGTTTGTCACCATTACGAAGGGCATTCCCTTGTACATGAGCATTACTTGAGTCCGGCTTAATGAAGCGAAGTTTTGGAATTTTCAAAAGGCCCTTATACAAGAGTCCCTGACGGACCGTTTCGTGAAAATTTAAATATTCCAAACGATCTTACTATTTTCTCATTGTTCCCGGGAGCGGCGAGTCTTCCCTTGCCGGCTTTCTGGGTCGCATAGGAATTTGAAATTGAAAAGAAAATTACGAATATTCGTGGCCACCCAACAGTCTTCTCTGTTCCATGAAGGGGCAGTTCCGCCCAAGTAAGTACCGCGACCTCGCAGAAGATCGTCGCGAAGTGGAAGTGTTATACTTCTCTGTTTCGTCTGATGATTGAGGTAGCCGGGGCCCACTTTATTATAAGGTGGCAACGCTTCTGCAACCCTACGGGTGTTGCAAATGTCAATGGAGGACGGTTATCACTTTAGATCAACTGAAACGCCAGCTCGCGTGCCACCTTCTAAAATAACAAAAGAGAATAGGGAACAACCGATCATGTTTCAAGACAATCAATGTGTGTTGCTAGTGACGACCTACGGAACGGAGACGTGGTCCTTCACTGCTGGCCTTATGAGGAAGCTCAAAGTCGCCCAGCGAGCTATGTTCGGAATTTCTTTGCGTAATAGAGTTCGTAACGAAGACATCCGCAATTAAACGAAAGTAACCGACATAGCTCAGAAGATTAGGAAGTAGCGATGGGCCGGCCATATAGCTCGTAGAACCGATAACCATCGGGGAAGGAAAATTCTCGAGTGATAGCCTCGTACTAGCCATCGCAGTGTGAGACGACCCCCCACTAGATGGAGTGACGACCTGTGCAAATGTGCGGGAAGTCGATGGATGCAGGTGGCTCAGGATCGTACTTCGTGACAGACAATGGGGGAGGCCTATGTTCAACAGTGGACTCAAACAGTCTGAAATAATGATCATATTTGCTCGACATCGATGAGAAAATTATTTAACCCGGATTGTACAAGTCCTATAATTTTACAAAAGTACCAATTTATACGCTAGACAGGCTTTTTGCTTTAATTTATCTAGGTCAGCTTAGTCAATTTCGGTTGGTGTAAACGACCATAAAGAAAAGAGCTGCTATAAAAATGATATAAAACCCATTAAGGATATTTGTAGCTTCGTAAGGATGAAAAATATATTAAACATTTTTCCAGATTCCCAGCATTAATATAACTATAGATTGTAACGTAATTCTATATGTTGTTTGCATTGGTGCTGCTGACTATAAATCATTTTCCTTTAGAATAATCGTTTTACTTAAGACCAAACTCGTTTAACTAGCGATATTTTCTCGCGACGGTCACGAGGTGTGGAATTCCACTATTTACTGGCGATGAGTTCCATAAATTACCTTGCTTTATGGGCCGGTTGGCAGTTGCTAAGCGATATTAACATGTAGATTTCGACCCACTAATCTAGGTATTTCCTTGCGATACTCGTGTATAAAAAGACAGAACTTTAACCTAATATATAATAAAATCTTTAACCTAGTATATAATCTATAACTAAATATTTTGAATTGAAAACTTCTTTAGGTGCGTTATGCACTTTTTGGGTGAACAAAATGCGTGAAACACGCGTCATCGTCACCGAACGCTTTCGAAAAAAGAATCGCCAAAAATATATTTGTGGTTATAGTTATGGATTTTTTTGGGCTTTTGAAATAGAAAACATAATTGTAATCAACTAACAAACTGTTTTTTTTTGTTACATAACTGTTTATGAATCGCCGCACATTGCGTACACATTCCCTGCGCTTTATAGCAGACTTTGTAAGGGTCCGTTTGCAAAAGCCTCTCCGTCCACTGCGCCACGCCAGCACGGCTCGTTGGCCAGACAATGCGGCCCCAGACTCCACGCAGACTTAATCAGGACAGGACAAAAGCTCGGACGGGTTAAACTGACCGTGCGCTCTCAAACAAACGCACAGACGAGAGTAAACTGAGCGCGGATGAAAGCGCTGCTTATCTGGAAAACATCCACCGTCCCGACGAAAGGGATCCGCACGAAAGGCTCAAAGAGTGGTTCTTTCCGTAACGTTGAGCGTGATTCGGCACAAAGCGAATGTGGTAGAGGACGTATCCGAGGGAGCTTTTGTTCTGCGATGGCATTCAAATGCCTTAGCAAAATAGTTACTATGTATTGCGTTTGATTGTAAGGGGTTTTATTATGATGTTGACTTCGGAACTTATTCTGGGTCTTCATATCGTTGCGATTGGAGTAGATGGGCGATGTTTAAATCTTGTCTTTATTTCAACATTCGACAAACGCGAAGGTCTTCTTGATATTGCACCATTCTCCATTCCCATTATTTTTACCTCTCACTTTTACTTTTCTTCACTTTCTCGTTCTTTTTTTTTTGTGTTGTTGTCATCACTCAACTCTAGAGCGCGCTCAGTGCCCCTTACATAGGGCCGAAGTTCGAGTCTTTTTATTTAATGTTCCGAAATAAGGGCGTCTTTTTTTTAGAATAAGAATTAAAAACTAGAAAAAGTGTATTTTAAGACCATCAAGACTTGACGTTGCCAATCAAGACGTCAATCGAGAAATCATAACGATATGTCCATAGAAAGATTTATAAAATTTATATTTGGATAGTTAAATATATAGATATCATATATAAAATGTCTGCATTTGCATTTGTGATGCCAGTAAATAAGAAAATTATCCATGGATTTCCATTGATTAAATTCAAACGCAAGGATTGCCGTTTCAACTGCAAGGGACATTAAGTCGCTAGTAAATCTCCACTGAATTGTATTTAAAGACGCTTTTACGAGTATACATGCTCGCAAAAGCGATGGCTTAATAAAGCTTAAGTTAAGCGTATGCTTTATTCTGTATTTCATTAAAATTCTAAAATCAATAAATTGTAAAAGCTTAAATTATCGGATTGATTGGTAAGAAGTTAGCTCACACACAGACTGTTAGTCTGTGTGTGTCGTTATAGCAAAGATTTTTTGAATTTACGGGAATAGTACATTTTATTAAATAAATGTTATTTTGCGTTAAGTTTAATTTTGTTTTAATACCCGTCTTTCCAAACAAAGTCTAACGAGTCCGGACATCAAGTTAAAGATATAATTACTTTAAAAAAATATACTTTCAGTTTAAAATATATATTTTTATCCAATTGTTAATAGTATTATAATACGGCTAATAAAATATTTTGTATATTGTTTTCTGAAGCGTAACTTTCGGAATACTATGAGCAAAAATGCAGTAAATACCGGTAGGTAAACATGCAAGTTACCCATAACTAAGATAAGGACGTCTCACCTTTTTAGAAATTGATTTTAACTGATGGCTGCGCGATTTGTATCCGATTGAAGAAACAACCAAAACTCAAACACGTGTTTCGAAGCGCCGCATATTTTTCCGTCTGTTTACCGAATAGGCGGCTTGTATTTGAAAACTGGGTAGGTACTTGGAGAATGTTTTGCGGCGTTCAATGTACGTCCTGCTAGTATGTGTAAGTATCGTGGCACTTACTGATATAAACTAGTTTATTTTGCATGCAAATGAGGGACGAAAAACAGCATATTGTGTATTTAAAAATATCTTGAGTTAGAGATTTTTTTTTATTTATTAAAGAGGTAACTTAATGCCTCAAGCCATTCACTATCAGTCAGTCAATCCATCACAATTATTCACTGTTTAGAATTTAATGAACGGTTATCGTTAGGTTAATTTGGTGTGTAATTTATTAATTCATAATAAGGTGTCTTATTAATAAATCCTAGTCATCGAGTTTCAGTAAGCCCTCAGTTCATATTGGACCCTCGACTTGGCAGGGGAAGACCCTTATTTTGGATAAATAACACAACTTTCTGTAACATATTCAAATATTTACAATACTTTCAAGTCTTTTTCTTGTTTTGGGCTATTAATAGGACCTAGGTTATAATTCAGCCGAGTCGTAGATTCGTACCCTAGGAATCAATAGAGAGTAATATGATTTTTTTACGCAGCCTTATTCTTAATGCTTAGATATCAAAATATGACAGTAAATATCTCTGCACACCCTGTACGCTCAAAAACTTAAACTGTTGTTTCGATCTCCAACTCTGATTAGGTTAAGATGACATTTAATTGAGTCTGAAACTACCTCGCGGTGAAATTAATAGGACGTGGTGGAAAAACGTGTCTCGTGCGCTGACACACATATTGGTCGTTCGAGTTCCGTTCGAGTTACTCGGAGAGGGCACGTGCGATAGCTCACGGTGAAACTTCGCCCGCTCGCGTATTACCCGGGCTACATACAGGATGATTTTATATTCGACGGACATATTAACAGAGCATATGCTGAATTCGATTCTAAATCTGAATCTGGCACGTAATTGTGACCCCTTCAAACATTCTGGACACCCTATTAGAAATTCCTGACTTCCGTCTCAAACTCTCTGACCGCCTCAAAACAGTAACATATTCGCGAGCGCTAAAACTGTTCGCTGAACGCATAATTACTAAACCGCTTCTCAATAGTGTGTCTACTCTAACTTGTCAAAATAAAATATTCATATTTTTTTTGAATTATGGAATGCTCCAATACCGTTAAGTCAAAGTATGTACTTC